AATTTCGTTTAGTAAATGTTTTGTAAACTGTATCACTAGTTTTGTCAAGACCAGACAATGATTATGTTTGGTAAATGTTTTGTTAACTGTATCACTAGTTTCGTCAAGACAAGACATTAATTACGTTTGGTAAATGTTTTGTTAATTGTATTCCTAGTTTTGTAAAGACAAGATAGTAATTATGTTTAGTATGTATTGTGTTAACTGTATCACTAGTTTTGTCAAGACAAGACATTAATTATGCTTGGTAACAATTCTGTTAACTGTGTCACTAATTTTGTAAAGACAAGATAGTAATTATGTTTAGTAAGTGTTTTGTTAACTGTATCACTAGTTTCGTCAAGACAAAACATTAATTATGTTTAGTAAATATTTTGTTAACTGTATCACTAGTTTCGTCAAGACAAGACATTAATTATGTTTGGTAAGTGTTTTGTTAACTGTATCACTAGTTTTGTCAAGACAAGACATTAATTATGTTTGGTAAATGTTTTGTTAACTGTATCACTAGTTTTGTCAAGACAAGACATTATTTATGTTTGGTATATATTTTGTTAACTGTATCATTAGTTTCGTCAAGACATTAGTTATGTTTGGTAAATGTTTTGTTAACTGTATCACTAGTTTCGTCAAGACAAAACATTAATTACGTTTAGTAAATGTTTTGTTAACTGTATCACTAGTTTCGTCACGACAAGACATTAATTATGCTTGGTAAATATTTTGTTAACTGTATCACTAGTTTCGTCACGACAAGACATTAATTACGTTTGGTAAATATTTTGTTAACTGTATCACTAGTTTCGTCACGACAAGACATTAATTACGTTTGGTAAATATTTTGTTAAGTGTATCACTAGTTTCGTCAAGACAAGACATTAATTACGTTTGGTAAATGTTTTGTTAACTGTATCACTAGTTTTGCTTTAATCCAGAATCATATGGAAAAATGGCAATTTAGTATCTTCTGTGACACTTGGTTCCCCAATCTTATTACAAAATATAATTAATATTAATGATTTATAGAACATAAAATGTTTTTATTGTTGCTTACTTTAGTTTCAACACATTACTTAGTACTCAAAATTATTTACTGAAGTTATATAACAATTTCTAAAAACGCTTGGCGTAGAATATAAAGTGTTCTATATTTGAGTTTATTTCATTCACTGCGTTATGCTTCGTACTACTCATATGTCACTGATGCTTTATACCAAATTGTCTAAAAAAGTTTGAGCAGAATTTAAAGTGCTTTTGCAATGTCTTGTTTCAGTTTCAAAATGCTGCTTGGCAATCACTATAAATTAGAGGAGCTTTACGCCAAACTAGCTTAATCCATTAGAATAGAAAATAAAGTGTTTTCTCTATAGTTTACTTAATTTACAACAATGCACTTAACACTCTTTTTGCGTTCGTGAAGTGTTACACCAAATTATCTTAAACCTCTAAAATAGAATATAATGTGGTCTTTACTATAAATAGATTCAGTTACATGCTACTTAGCACTCATCATGCTTTACTGAAGCTTTATTAAACAAAAGTGTCTAAACCTATTAGTGTACAATACAAAATGTTTTTCTATAGTTCAGTTCAGTTACAACATTGTGCTTAGCACTCATCATGCTTTACTGAAGCTTTATAAAACAAAAGTGTCTAAACTTATTAGTGTACAATACAAAATGTTTTTCTATAGTTCAGTTCAGTTACAACATTGTGCTTAGCACTCATCATGCTTTACTGAAGCTTTATAAAACAGTGTCTAAACCTATTAGTGTACAATACAAAATGTTTTTCTATAGTTCAGTTCAGTTACAACATTGTGCTTAGCACTCGTCATGCTTTACTGAAGCTTTATGCCAAACTATCTAAAATCGTTAGAGTAGAATATGGAATTATTTTTAATATTACTCATACTTAAGATATAACATGCCGCTGAGTATTCACCATGTATGAGTGGAGATTTTCAGTAAACTGTGTAAAACAGTTACAGTAGAATATAAAGTGTTTTTACTATAGTATACTTTAGTTTCCGCGAAAGGGGCCGAAGTCCACCTGAGGGGTCATTTTTCAAACCACTCGCACCACTACACAGTAGTGGGTTGTCTGTCAGTCAGTCAGTAGACGTCACATAAGAGACGTTTAAAGTTGCATTTTATACTGTCGTGACGTCAGTAAAACGTGCACATGCCATGAATCACGAGCATAATTATATACTCTGTAAGCTACAACACAGCATGACATAGAACTTCAAAACAAAGAAATGAATATATTTCTTACTCTTAATTTTGGTTTTATTTACTCTTGAAACAGAACACTTTCGGAAATCCTGCGCAAGTACATCTAGTTCCATGAGTTAGTGAAGCTTTATACAAAATATGTTTAAAACCGTTAGCGTAGAATATAATGCGTTTAACTACAGGGTACTTCAGTTAAAACATGCCGCTTACTACTCATCGTGTGTTAGTGAAGCTATGTAACAAACTCTCAGATACCGTTAGAGTATCATATAGAGAGTTTTTACTATAATTTACTCAGTTACAACATCAAAAAATGATACTGATTGTTACCTCTTTATTGTTGAGAACGTGATCACTCAGACGATACGTGAGAACTCTTTTTTTTTTACAGTTTACAACATGTGAGGAAGAATATTTTTTAAACAGGTACGACGTTTCGATCACTGGTGTGATCATTCTATGTACTTGAGAATAATTGTACCAGTAATCGAAACGTCGTACCTGTTTAAAATATATTCTTCGTTACTGTAAAAGCTGTAACTAGTAAAAAATACCTATTATTAGTAAGAAAACTCAAAAGAAACTATTCATAATAACTCATTTTTTATTATTTTGAATAATATCGGCTGTTTTGTTCTGTTAAGACTGTGCTTGTGTTCAGTGAGGTGTCTATCTCTTGATAAAACCGTAAGATGAAGCGTTAAAGAAATAAAGAATTTTCATTGGATACTGGTTGTTTCTCTTCACTAAACACGTTTACACTCCTTGATTTCACTAAACATTAGTGAAACTTTATACCAAAATGTTATGGTGCGAGTGCCATTTTCAAGCTGGCGAAGCATGATTATAATTAATTATACTTGTCATAAGATATTAGTGTTAAGCCTATTATATTTTTAACACTGGATTCTTTATCTAGTCCTTTAGATATTTTCAAGAATTAGAAAAATGTATAATGATAGTATCCAACCACACATTTTTGCCACGTCCAGTGCCGACAACGCCTAATATTCATGACTTATGAGAAGCTTCGCCAGCTTGGAAAATACATTCACACAATAACAATAGTGTTTCTACCACTACTGCGTTGTTGTGCTCCAGCTGGCCCGATGAGCTCTGAATTGAGCGAAACGCGTCGTCGGCAATAGAGATGGTGAACATAGTGTGGTTGGACTACTATTATTATACACAATTCTAAATTTTTTTAAATCCATTAAAAACTAGATAAATAATGTCTTGTGACAAGTATGATTATTTATAACAAACTGTTTAAAACCGTTAGATTAGAAAGTAGTGTTTACTTCAGTTACAATGTGCGTGCTCAGCACTCACCATGCGTTAATGAAGCTTAATACAAATTGTCTAGAACCGTTAGATTTAGATGTAGTTGTGCATTAATTTGAATCTTAAATACGAAACTTTACACTTCCCGGTTGTCAGTTATGATGAATGATTCTAAAGAATATCGATATATCAACCCATTGATGAAAACAAACAATTATGGTTTGTTTATAAAAAATATCCATCATCACACAAATACCAACTGAATATAACCATGTTTCTCACTACAACGCATACTCATTTAGGAAACAGTATCATTGTATATTTATCTTCGTACTCATATTCAAGCACCATACAGCTGCATATGTTTAAAGAAAAAAAGAGTAAATATCAATTTTAGATATAGAAAAAATAGTACATAGTCAATGAATAGTTGAGACGGAATAATTACTATATGCAATTGAAGTTAGAAATTATGTGATTCTGATTATTAATTTGTTTTATAAAATACAAATGTGTAGAAACATTCAATCGCTTATTCATAACGTTCATAAAACACTTGTTCTATGCGAGTAAATTAAAGAAAGTAAAATATTAATTTGTACACATTACCGAAACCAGATTTGGTTTATACGACTAATCAGTTGATTATAAATCATTGTTCACTTGAGGGTTTTACTATGAGAAATATTCATCCTAATGTTTCATTATTGGTGTCAAATAAACATCGAACTCCAAATCCAACTTCAGTTGATTGACAGTTCAAAAACTCTGAAAATATATAATAATAAATCAACACCGAAACTAAAACCTTAAACTGCTGTTTTTGAATTTTTTTTCAGTCTATTGAAGCCTTATAAGTTGACTATAAGTCGATTAATAGGTATTGGTTATCAGTTAACTTCAATTAAAAACGTTGCGGTAAAATTGATGTGTTTATTACTGATATTTAGTGATATGACATGGAACGTAAGCTTGCAAGACTAAAAGAAATAATTCACTTTGTATATCACTATAACATACTTTATTTACAACACTTGACACAAATTGCACCCTTTTTATCTTCATAGCTATATTTTTAGTAAACTACAGTTTTTATTGGAGTGACTTAACAATTTCAGTTATATGACTAACAGAAACCATTGTGACTTGACAAATGAAAATCAAACAATGAACATTATTTTAACAGCTTTCACCACATCTATGCTTCTGAAGCTCCCTAACACATTTATATAACAAGAACACGTGAGAAAACAAGCGACTAGAATTGTTAGATTTTAAATTGAACATTTTCATCTTGAACTGATGCACCTATTTTGGTTTTCATCAACTTACAAGAACAGCAAGCATTAAACATTCAGTACAGTATAATGACATTCAAAAAAGTTGTGTTTGAATTTGAGAAATATACATGCAATTAATATTGATTACTTGTTGTAATCTGGCGAGTTAAAGAACGTATTTTGTTATTTTCAAGGTTAATTGCATTTAATGCTAACACAACACATCCATTTTGATATTTTACAGAGTGGGTTAACAGAAATCAGTCGTTTTAAACACAACGCTATATATATATATGTCATAGAAAAAATGTTTTCACCAAAATTGAAATATAATAATTATAATGCAAGTTTAATTTGTCATTGTACATAGAACACCTAAGGTCGTAACTATTGATGTGAAATTATTTTTGACAATTCAAATATTAAACAACTACAACAACAAAATAATAACATTATTCACAGGCTGAAAGACTACAATTTTACTATTTGAACAATCTGCTGTAAATATTAAATAATCAAATGTCAACGTTATTTTCGACTGTGTTCAAAGTACAGGCAGTTTAATTTGCTTTTAAAATCAAACGTGGTAAAATTTTAGTATTATGAATCATTCTGATGGTTTTTTTTTTGTATTTGCTACTTTTAAGCATGGGGTTTCTTAACGGGATATGTAAGGCGTGGCCTACTTATTATTTTTAGCATGCTCTACTGTGAAACAAACTTTACTGGGGACCTTTATCACGCTATTTACCTAAGCTGCTCGCAAAAGAATACAAAAAAAAAGCCAATCATAAATATTTTGAGAATAGAAAAGTGGAAATTTTGTTCATTTGAAAAGTAGTTGGAACATAAAAGTTTCATTAAGATTTTCTTTTAACGGTCTCTTTGTTTGCATTTTAATATTATATAAATATTATTTCAATTTCGAAAGGGTTTATCAAATTGTTATAGATTACATACACTGCTTAGTCACTTAATACATGCACAACGAAAATGATTTTGAAAAAACGAACTATCAAAATACGAAATATTGTAGGACATGTTTCAAATTTTATAATCCCACAAAAACAGATTTCTCGGGATCGAAAAGAAATTCGTATATCAGTATATACTAATTAATGTTTAGCTTTTCAAAGGTGAACTTATGTATGATGTTATAAATATTCTTTGTGTACTTGTGTAAAAATGCATGTTTTAGTGAGGCCTGACGTTGATGTGGTGTACAGGATAATGCTTGGTGCGTTTAGTATCTTAGAATTGTCGTGTAAAAAATAACATAATATTTTAGTAAGATCTAAAGCTACGTAATGTGTCGCAGGGCAATGTTCATTGTCTTATAATAGTGTACACGCGGTGTTAATGTGATGTCACAAAGCAATGTTCGTTTTTATTGCATTACAATTGTCGTGTAAGTATTACATCATGTCACAGTGAGTAATGAAGTATAGTATCTGTCGTAGAGTAGTGTACTTCTTGTAAGGCCTAATGATTGTCCTTTAATTATTACACGAGGATTTTGCCGGAATTTTGTCAGGTATTTACGTTATCGTATAATGTGTGAGGATTTGAGGTGTGTTTAGTTGGACACAGTAATATCAGATATTTAACGTCTCATGTTATCGTGTCATTCCGTGGAAGTGGTAGCGAAATGACTTCCAAACTGGTAAAGTCCGAGGTTTATCACTTCTGGATATCATGCACACAAACAGTGACAACCTGTTCTTCTCTGATTTAAAAACAGAAAGGAAATATATATATATTCAAAGAATCATCTCAGTAATTTCCTTCTATTACTACATATCCCACGTAATTCAATTATGCTGAAATATATCCAAATAAAATGGGACAGAAACTCCTTGCACTTTGTTCTAAAGATGAGATCTTGGACAAATTTCAGCGATGAATTTTTACAGAAAGCGCTTCATGCCTCAACTGTAATACGTAAACCCAAAATAATATACTTTCTTGTTATTAAAGAGAGTGAGAACGTTTTATGTATGTTGTTCATGTAATTATTGTTAGTATTCTGTTTATACCACTGTGAGTCCACGATAGAATTGGATTTACTGAAAAACAAATGGTTAAATCAATAGTGCTTTAGACGGTTAATATTCAAACAGTTTGGTTACCTACTTGCAATTGTCACTTTCAAACTCAGATTTTACACGAATCTTTACGTTTATCTATTGTATCTGGATACCGCACGTTAATGAAATGTACTAATAATATTTATTAATTTGTGGAATACACATCAAGATTTCAATAAATATGTGCTTTCAGTTCTCTTAGTCTCTCTTACATGAGAAAATAAATACATTCTGTATTGTGGAATTACTTATCATAGATTGAGACAGTTACATAGAAAAATTCCCGCTTTTAAATAACCAGATCAACTAAAAATGAGATCTTCCTTCGACGAAAAATATATTTACACTATACACTCAGTTGGTTAAACAAATAAGTTTTATGTCTTAGTTCTCTTTTAAGTAGATATGTAGTGGTATATATATAAATATATATTTCATGACCATATTTGAAATTTTAATTTGATGAAATAAAAATAAGTGTGCTCGTGTTATCAAACAATATCTTCCTCTCTCTCTAGATATTATCACAAAAACACTTTTTATATATTTTAAGACGTACTTGCCTTTTTTTAATCTTAGTTACTAAAACAAAAATATGGTCGAGTAAGGAATATTTGTTTCAAATAGCAGAGAAAAAAAAAACACTCCGTTTAATCATAAACCATTTTCATAACTTTGGTTCCTGCTCATTGGTGTATATTAAAATCTGAACACAGCATCAAATTACATACACGATGTAGCTTTTCACCAAGCATTTAGCAGACCCCTGTAGTTTTGATTAGAACGTGTTAAATCAAATTGGGAGGAAGAGATCTGTACGATATCCATTTTGATAGAAATCTTCCTGTAACATCGTGTATATTAACCCACATAAATTTTATAGCTTCGAGGCGTGACCTTTAAAGAAAGGATTGCGATACGAAGTAAAAGAACGTAATAATAAATAATAGTTTAAATTCAGTACATCGAGGACAGTAGATTGTACAGCTACGACCCAATTACAATCGAAACATATTTTCTTGAATAATATATCAATTTTTAACTGCAAAAGTTTCATTGTTGTAAACGTCAAGTTTAAAACCTCTTATAAATTCAGTTTCTTTCTGTAATCGTAGTTCTTCTCTTCTTAAATAGAATGAAGTAATGAAAGAACTAGTTTGTAGGAATTAAAGACAATCAAATATTAAGGATAATAGGCAACGAAACTACCTCGTTTATCTTCTTTATATAATGATGAGTTTTGAATAATACAAATAATGATAAAAAACATAACTATGTGCTGTTTTTATATAGAATGTTTCCTCTATATCAGAAATACGAAAAACTTCTTATTCTACGAACAACGACCAGAAATGGAGGGACAAAGAGCTGATCATCACAACACTCAGTATAATAGATTGAAGTCTATTAATCATCACCAATTCACAACATTTTATTTTCTCAAACAGAATCATAATGAAATGGAATATATTGATGATAATATATTATTAATAATAGTAATTTTGAAACATTTATATTGCTTTGGCATTTAACAACTAATATTAACAACTACCTTAATACTCTCTGTCCTCAATACTTCCATGCATATAACGATCTGTAGGGGGCGCTTGCACTGGTTCTTTTTTCATGTCGAACATTGGCTGTTGGCTATCGACTGTGGCGCCATAAGAAGGTTGCTTGACACCTGCAATAGCTATAGGGCCTGTGACGTCACCATTCTTTGATTGATTTTCATCTTTAAATGCATTTTCGAGTGGATTCCAAGATGCACCTTCGTCCTTCACTGGTGGCTCTGCCCACGATTGTAATTCTCCAGAGGCGAAAATAGCATAAAACGTCACCCCAGCGAAATGGATTAAACTAGCAATGAGAAACACCTTCTCCCATTCAGCAGCAGTCTGAAAGTCATTAATAAGTAATTTTAGTACATATATTAAATAGCGTAGAATGAAAATCTTTTTACATAGAACTTTTTAACATTTACATAATACTAAGAAAGTGTAAGAAACATTGTACAAAAGAACGTATTTACCTCAAGAGTAACCAATTTAGTAAGTGTATTTTATCAACAACAGCTTAATTACTAGAGAAGAGCTTTACAAATAATCCAATAGATGGCAGCAGCCGTCAGTATACGAACGAAAAACAATAATGCAGTCTTTATGTTTATCAAATTAAATGGGTCCTACTTTTGGAGTAAAAAGGAAGTGAGTGGCAAAGTCCTACTGGGGGTCCAGAAATGTTGTAATCCTCCCTGAAAATTGTGCATCTTCAAGGTATCTGTTTTAAACGAATATGAATGCACTTGAGGGATGCCACTGTAACTATTACCCTCACCCCTCATGTATCTTCCACAGTTATACCTTAGGTTTAGGTAATGCACTTTATAAAAACAGTGAAGTGTCTCTAAAACCTATTTTGCAAACACCATGTTATAATCTTGACACTACAAACAAACAAACAACAGCAACAAAAAGAATTCATTAATTAAATACCTAATAAAAAACAATTTATTACAATACTTAACTAGAATAACTCCAAGAAATTTAATTGATTTCAAAGTATTGATTCATACATCTTTTATGAAAAACAGTCTGAATTTTGAAACAAATGTGCATGTATTAAGATAAAAAAAACAACTTTAAATGTCAAAATATTTTGTCAATTTGTAACTGCTAGATCTTATCAATGAAATGCCAGAAGAGTTGATAATTACTCAAGAAACTCGCGTGAAAACAAACACAAACTACCAAACTTTACGAGAGATAAAGAAATGTATATAAGTTTTAAAAAAATAATCAACAAATTAAAAGAAAAATAATAACAATAAATTCTGCAAGCTAAGACTTCTCGCCAAATACGTAACATATATGAAGCTAACACCGTTCAGTATCTAACAATGATCTCATCACATCAGTTGAATAATCATTGCATTATATTAATGAATAATTGTGAGTACGTTCATATTAGATTAATAAACAAAACGATCATTTATTTATCGCATATAGATTACATCTGTTTTGTTGAATATTTTACAAGCTTAGTACACGTCGATGAATGGACATCATTATATATATATTATTTTCTATTTCACTAGTTTGCCATTACGTAAAAATGTACGCACAGGGTTAATAAAAATATTGTTTTAGAATTGATAGACAGAGACCGCAGTTCAAAAATGTTTGAATGTATCAGAGTAATAAACGTTTAATAATATTATCGCTTAATATACGAGTTAATGCGAAATAAAATTGAAACAAAACAAAGCTGAAAGATAATTAGGTCTTTCGGTCATTGTGCAATATAAATTTTTCTAGAGACGGATTTCAGAGTTAACAGTCGTTTCGAAATGTTAGCACCACGAAGAATAACCGTTAGTTTTAATACTACTTCTGAGGAAATGTCTAAATCAAAGCTGTGTTTTTCATAGAAATGAATTATTTAGTTGCATATTAACATATAAGTTAAAAATTAGTGGGTATGTTGTGATTTAGTTGCGAAAATTTAACGGAATACAGCTCATTCTTTCTAAATAGTTCACGTTTTCTGAACTTCTTGCGTTGTTTATTATTAACTGTTACTTCCAATGTTTTTCACTAGGTGAGCATGAATTAAATATGTGACTCACAGTTGGTTATAAGTGTTTGATTCTTGTCACTGGGTTATTCTGAGAACAATTCTGAATGGATTTTTAATATTAGTCTAACTATAATTTGCATTCGTCTCTTTAAATAACACTGTTTCAGTGGAATGATATAACTATACAATAGATTTGTTTTTTATAATAAAGCCCGAAGCTACACAATGGACTATCTGTATAAGCCTGCAGACATACAACTTTGTCACTGAGGGGCTTACAATAGAAGAGGGCTTAAGATATTAACAGATTTAGAGGTGGTTGTTTTAATAAGCCACTATAGTAAAGCGTGGTAGTGTGTTCTAAAGACAGCTTAGCAACTGCTGTTCTAAAACCTAAGAAATGTCAGGCTTTTAAAATAGTTCTAAGTCTGCATATATATATATAAGGATATCAAGTTTTCCAATCAATCTAAATCTCTATGAATAAAATAGTTCTAAAAACTTCCAGGAATGTGCTTGCTAAAACCGAATATCAAATGGACTGTAAAGTACTTAACATCACACACAATTAAACCTTCCGCATAGCCTGAACACTAGACTTCAGCTCATTTGCGCCGTGTTGTATTTTATGGAACAATCCACCTATTGTACTGCATCAACTGTAAACTGCCTCTATAAATCATATTGAGCTTGTATTGAAACCTCTGTTTCACATTCCGCTCGACTTCGTCACATTAGCAATAATACACTCGAATCCCCCCACTGATAGAGTGCCGGGGGATTAAGATGGAAACCACACGACCGTTTGATGAAGGTTTTCCCAGCTTAACGAATTCCAGGAGAGCTCTGAGACTTACTGCGCCCGCAAAGCCTTTTCTCTATTCACAGAATCTTGTTTTCCCTACCTCTGCTTCGGAACGGCTTTGATATCCTTTCAAACTGAATAAATCAGTTCCTGTTTGTGGCCTAGTGGGGGAGAGTTTGCGACCCCAACTGCAAGTTCGTTTTATGGTGTGTATTGCGTTATAGCTGAAATGACGCGTGAAATTTTCAGCAAACATTTTGGAAAGAATGTCAGGATCAAGACATCAAACAGCTAAAATTTGTCTTGGGCTAAAAAAAGCTGGAATTTACTTATCACATATAAAGTTTAAAAGTGCTATACCAAATGTATAAATAAAACCTGTCCTCAATGTAAAAGTTCTTGGTTAATTTCCGGCGCCAAAGTGAGGATGATAAGCTGTGAACTGTTGTATTCGTGATGTGAGACGATACATTATATTAAATGTTTTTAACTGAATATATATATAATTAAATAATTTTACTAGCTGCTCAAAAGTCAACTTTATTTTGCCAAGAAGATCCAGTGGAAAATATACTTACACGAGAAAAGTTCAAATACTGCATACCAGAAACAAACACGTGCTGTAATGATGCAGTGGATACGTTTGCTGATTCGTTTTGACAAGAAACGTAATTTCTAGTACGTAACTTATGTTGCTGCCATCTATTTGCACATTGAAAAGGAACATTTGCATCTACACAGTTTCCAAAAGTAAGTGCTTTATTAATCTACTTTGACGTATCCTGGTCACGTACATTTATAATTTTCTCTCTTTTAAAATATAATGGAAAGAATGATAAACATGAGTCGTTCCTGGCGGAGACTCTCGTGGGATATTAATATAATAAAGCATATTACATTTAAATAATTTTATTAATAATTTGACTAAGTAACCTAAACAACTAGTATCGATCTTACCGAATGTTTGGTGAGGGTCTCCACAACTATTGGGCAAATCATTCCGGATAAAGTGCCAAACCCGTTAGACATTCCCATCAAAATACTTGCGTAACGAGGAGCAATGTCCAAATGGTTGACATTAAAACCTGTAAAGATATCCTTTTTAAGAGTACCACACACAAAACAAACACGAGTGGTGTTTTAACATTTTTTCTTAACTGCTAGATATTCAATTATATAATAGTTCTCTATATCACTAAAAATAAAACATTTATAACAAATATGACGTTTTTATTGATAAATAGGTTAAATACAAACACGTAATCTTTTTTCTTTCCACCATCGATACAACGAAATATTCCACCCACTTAAGCTGTAGGTTCTAGACAAGAGTGACAGACGATCTCTTAGTGTGGATGGTGGAGTGCTGCTGATTGGCTATCTTCCCTCTGGTCAATAGTTCAAAATTAGGGTCTACAGCAAAATCAGCAAGTTTAAAATTATATAAAGTCTATAAATAGATTAATTATATTTCATATCACAACTCTTTCGGTTTATCAAGTTAAAAGTATTCGGTTGAGCACGGTTTTCTGCAAGGATTAATCTACTGGTATTGAAACAACAAGGTAAAATAACTTTGAATTGCACCACACTACTCAGAAGAAAGAAAAAAGGTTATGATTATGATAAAGTATGTAAATAACAAATAGTATTCGAATACAGCCAAATATTTTCACACCTCAAAGTGCACAGTGTGAAAGTACTTTACAAATAATTGAGGTTCAAATTCTTGATGTTGTTAAACGAGTTAAAGTTATCCTAGTTTTTTTTTATTAAGCAGATTGTCTGAATCCGTATACCTGAAAAGACAGTAAGAATTATCTCAAATTTTAGGCCAGTCAGTTTCTAATGCTCGGCAACCTTTCGACATTTGAACCGTAACTTTCAAAATAAAGGTTTTCATTTTCTTCTGCGTAAGATACTGTTCGGCAATATTTCTAAAAACATTTTACGTTTACGTTATTTTTCTAAACATACACGTATAATGTAATTCATAACTTGTAGTTGCAAATACCATTGGTTTCAGATTATTTATGTGGACATCAAACATAACTAAAGTTATGGTTTATTTGCAAAGTGAAGATCAAAAAGTCTACTCCATAGGAATGTATACATTGGCATACAATGTGATATAGAAAACGTCGCTGCGTCAAAAACAAATATATTCCGTTAGAGATAATGGTACGATTTCTAAACATGTTTTACTTATAGTGTAACAACAAATCTCCTGGAGTTATAAATGAGAAACATTTTTCATTATACTACGTGTAGATAAAAGATAAAAAGTTGTTGGATTTTTTGATAAAATATTTCAATTTCATCAGACAGTAAAATTATTAATTATTTGTTAATTCCTTTACTAAAACAAACGTTCTAATTTATATCACATATCATATTAATCTAATTGTACTTTCTTTTATAATACACTATTTGTTGTCTGAGATTTGGAGAAAATTGCAACTTCATTAGTTATGAAGCTGAAATTAGGTCACCACAAACACTGTAACATATTATATCAAACAAATTGTAGTTTTTATCTTTTCGCCACTACGCTGAGCGGACAAATTCGGTAGAAAACTTGTGAATTAGTTATTTTCCCATTACTTCCCAAATAACTCTATTTCCGTTTTTTTATTATTGCCAGGACAGAGCCGGAACGATCATGTCATCAAAACAGCGATAATCCACTCCGATAACCACTTTATTGCTCTACCGTGAGTAAGGTTAACGCGCGAGTGGACACTCAGAAAGACTACGGACAACAAAAATAACCCGAAGTCGTTTAGTCATTTCACAGGAGGCGTTCTGGGAGTCTCGGGCCCTGCACGTACTCAACTATGGATTAGCCACGGTTCCAATGAGTTCTTGATAAACGCGAAGAACGAGAGATCGACAATTTGGATCGAAAAGGATTTTCTATCGCTGATAGAAAGTGAGAAGAACTTTTGTGAATGGGTTCAAATTCAGTGTAACCTTACTGTATAATAAAAATTCAAGCTTATAACGATATCTACAGCAAAAATAAATAGTTTTCATTATTAGTTTCAGGAGATATTCATCAATTTATTCACGTGAGGATAACTTTAACGAATGAGGTCAAATTTAATGTAAGCTGAATGTACAATAAAGTAATATAAATTCAAACTTTTCATTTTAATTTCAGTAATCTTCATCAAGTCATCTGATGAGTATTTATGCTATTAAAAATTAATTCACTGACTTTATCCCATATAAGATATAAAATAAAAAGAATTAGAATTTTCAACATGAATGGCGTCTAATGTGCACGTGGGCTAAACAGCTTGGTCCAAACTCCCCTAGGATTCAGCTACAGCCTGCCCTAATTTTAAGCAACTGATCAGATGAAGGTGGCCAGCCAGTAGCACTCCTGGAATCAAATAATGGGTTTCACTGTCACTATTATAAGGAGCCCACGGTGCGGAGTGAGTTCAGGTCCATCATTTCTCGAACCCAAGATCCTTCAATCCGCAGTCCGATATGTAGTTTTCAAACGACCGATTTAACTTTTCGTTATTTCGTCTTTTGAATCAATTAGTAAGAGGAAATGGCACTGATAATATGACTTCTTTACTGGTGATAGCACATGAAAGAAATAATCTTAATTCGTAATCCTCTTAAAACACAATACGTTAAGATCCAATAACAATGATTAAATCATATTTTACTGAAGTAATCCCTTTAACAGTGTCATCAGTTTTACAAACTAACTGGAAGAAGTTCAAACATCCCAATAAAAATGCTACCAACATTATATTTAAACTACATTTATGTAGTTCAAACATCCCAGTGATAATACCACCACTAATATAACTTAACTCAAAGTACACCTGAAATCCCAGTGATAATGCTACCACAATTACAAACTAACTAGAAGTAGACCTTAATCCCAGTGATAATAATACTACGACTATTATAAACTAACTCGAAGTACATTTGAAATATCGAAAGTTATGATAATACCATCACTATTAAAAACTCACTCGAAGTAGACCTGAAATCCCAGTGATAAAACCAACACTATTACAAACTAACTCTAAGTAGATATGAAATACCAGTAATAATACCACCACTATTATAAACTAACTAGAAGTATATATGAAATCCCAGAGATAATACCACAAATACTATAAACTTCCTAGAAGTGGATCTAAAATCCTATTGATAATACTACCACTATTACAAACTAACTCTAAGTAGATATGAAATACCAGTGATAATATCTTCACTATTATAAACTAACAAGAAGTATATATGAAATCCCAGAGATAATACCACTATTACAAATTAACTCTAAGTAGATAAGAAATACCAGTGATAATACCACAACTATTATAAACTAGATCGAAGTAGATTTGAAATCTTGGTAATAATACCACCACTACTATAAACTAACTAAAAGTATACCTGAAATCCCAGTGATAATACCACAACTATTACAAAATAACTGGAAGTAAACCTAAAATCTCAGTGATAATACCATCACTATGATAAAGTAACTAGAAGTAGACGTGAAATCCCAGTGAAAATACCACCACTATTATAAACCAACTCGAAGTAGATCTCAAATCCGGAAGATAATACCCCCACTATTACAAAATAACTGGAAGTAAACCTAAAATCTCAGTGATAATACCATCATTATGATAAAATAACTAGAAGTAGACCTGAAATCCCAGTGAAAATACCACCACTATTATAAACCAACTCGAGGTAGATCTCAAATCCGGAAGATCATACACCCACTATTACAAAGTAACTCGAAATAAAAATAAAATCCCAGTATTAATATCACCAAAATTACAAAATCACTAGAAGTCTACCTGATTTCCTGGTGATAATACCACCATTATTACCAAATAACTAGAAGTAGACCTGAAATCCCAGTGATAATACCACAGTTATTATCAAATTACTAGAAGTAGATCTGAAATCCCAGTGATAATACCACAACTATTACGAAATAACTGGAAGGAGATATGGAATCCCAGTGATAATACTACCTCTATTAATACCTAACTATAAGTAGACCTGAAATCTCAGTCATAATACTATCACTATTATATACTCACTCGAAGTAAACCTGAAATCCTCGTGATAATATCACCATTATTACCAAATAACTAGAAGAAGATCTAAATCCCAGTGAAAATACCACCACTATTATAAACCAACTCGAAGTAGTTCTCAAATCGTGGCGATAATACCACCATATAACAAACTAACTCAAAGTAGATCTGAAATTCCAATGATAATACTACGACGATTATAAACTAATTAGAAGTAGACCTCAAATCCCAGTGATAATACCATCACTATTGTAAACTAACTACAAGTAGTCCTGAAATCTCAGTGAAAATACCAAGACTATTATAAATTAACTCGAAGTAAATCTCAAATCGTGGTGATAATACCACAACTTTTATAAACTAGTTCGAAATAGACCTGAAATCTTGGTGATAATACCACCACTACTATAAACTAACTAAAAGTAGACCTGAAATCCCAGTGATAATAGCAGCACTATTACAAAACAACTAGAAATAGATCTGAAATCCCAGTGATAATACCACCACTATTATAAATTAACTGGAAGTAGACGTGAAATCCCAGTGATAATACCACAACAATTACAAAATAACTGGAAGTAAACCTAAAAGCCCAGTGATAATACCATCACTATGATAAAATAACTAGAAGTAGACCTGAAAACACAGTGAAAATACCACCACTATTATAAACCAACTCGAAGTAGATCTCAAATCCGGAAGATAATACCACTACTATTACAAACTAACTCGAATTAGAACTAAAATCCCAGTAATTAATATCACCACAATTACAAAATCACTAGAAGACTACCTGATTTCCTGGTGATAATACCACAACTATTACCAAATAACTAGAAGTAGACCTGAAATCCCAGTGATAATACCACCACTATTACAAACTAACTAGAATTAGAACTAAAATCCCAGTAATTAATATCACCACAATTACAAAATCACTAGAAGACAACCTGATTTCTTGGTGATAATACCACAACTATTACCAAATAACTAGAAGTAGACCTGGAATCCCAGTGTTAATACTACCACTATTACAAAATAACTCGAAGTAGATCTCAAATCGTGGTGATAATACCCCCCACTATTACAAACTAACTCGAAATAGAACTAAAATCCCAATAATTAATATCACCACAATTACAAAATCACTAGAAGTCTACCTAATTTCCTGGTGATAATACCATCATTATTACCAAATAACTAGAAGTAGACCTGAAATCCCGGTGATAATACCACAACTATTATCAAATAACTATAAGTAGACCTGTAATCCCAGTGATAATACCACAACTATTACGAAATAACTGGAAGTAGATCTGAAATCCCAGTGATAATACTACCAGTATTACAACCTAACTATAAGTAGACCTGAAATCCCAGTCATAATACCATCACTATAATAAACTAGCTAGAAGAAGACCTGAAATTTCAGTGATAATACTACCACGATTATAAACTAATTATAAGTAGACCTCAAATCCCAGTGATAATACTATCACTATTGTAAACTAACTACAAGTATTCCTCAAATCCCAGTGAAAATACCAAGACTATTATAAATTAACTCGAAGTAGATCTCAAATCATGGTGATATTCTTTCGAGTTAGTTTATGATAGTGGTGGTATTGTAACTCAGATTTTAGTTCTACTTCGAGTTAGTTTGTAATAGTGGTTTAGAGATGAACTCCCAGTGATAATAGAACCACTATTACAAATTAACTTGAAGTAGATCTGAATTCCCAGTGATAATACTACCACTATTACAAACGAACTAGAATTTGACCCAAAATCCCAGTGATAATGCCACCACTATTATAAACTAACTCGAAGTAGACCTGAAATCCCAGTGATACTACCACCACTGTTATAAAGTACCTCGAAGTAAACATGAAATCCCAGTGATAATACTACCACTATTACAAGCTATCTCGAAGTAGATCTGAAATCCCAGTGATAATACTACCAGTATTACAACCTAACTATAAGTAGACCTGAAATCCCAGTTATAATACCACCACTGTTATAAACTAACCAGAAGTAGATCTTAAATCCTAGTGATAATACCAGCATTATATTAAGCTAACTTGAAATAGACCTGAAAACCCAGTGATGATACCACCACTATTATAAACTAACTAGAAGTAGATTTGAAATAGTGGTCATAATACCACCACTGTTATAAACTACCTCGAAGTAGACATGAAATCCCAGTGATAATACCACCACTAATATAAACTAACTAGAAGTAGATCTGAACTCCTATTGATAATACCACCAGTATTTTAAACTAACTAGAAGTAGGTCTGAACTCCTATTGATAATACCACTACTATTACAAACTAAGTAGAAGTTGAACTGAAATTCCAGTAATAATACTACCATTATTATAAACTAACTAGAAGAAGACCTGAAATCCCAGTTATAATACCATCACTATAATAAACTAGCTAGAAGAAGACCTGAAATTCCAGTAATAATACTACGACGATTATAAACTAATTAGAAGTAGACCTCAAATCCCAATGATAATACCATCACTATTGTAAACTAACTACAAGTAGTCCTGAAATCCCAGTGAAAATACCAAGACTATTATAAATTAACTCGAAGTAGATCTCAAATCGTGGTGATAATACCACAACTTTTATAAACTAGTTCGAAGTAGACCTGAAATCTTGGTGATAATGTCACCATTATAATAAACTAACTCGAAGTAGACCTGAAATCATGGTGAAAATGCCATCATTATCCTTAACTAACTTGATGTATTACGTCGTCAAGAAATTAATTTCGCGTTGTGGAACACTTCATCCACCCCCCCCAAAAAACGTACATCTTGTATAATAGCTAAACTAACCGCTTAAACGTCACGTTAGTTAGCATATATAATGTGTAATATTTTTAATTGAATAGAGTTGTTTACAGTTGTTTCCATCGATTAAAGTTTAGTATAATCTAATCCCTTATAGTGATGGCATACATTCGTCATGTAATGCTGTTTGAATACAAGGAGGGGAACAACGCCTCTGTAGCCACAAAAAAATGTAAAGAAGTCTATGGAAATGTTTTGAACGTTCGTAAGTGTCAACGATGGTACAGCAAATTTCGTTTAGGTGACTTT